CTAACTGTGTTTTCTAAGAGTATGAATAACGCCTCATATAATACAAGCTGATGATTCAAATGTTCAAATTAACTTTTAAGACCTTCCCCCCATGCCCCAGCTCATAACAAAAGCTTACTCTGGCCTCATCCAGATCCCCAAAATCCTACCAGATGAGTTTTTTCTGCCTCAGGGTTTTGCCACCAGCCTGCCTCAGCAGCAAATGGTAGCCTGATTTCACCAAACTGTTCTTCGAGTGCTTCAGTTTTATCCCTCCTGTAAAAACAATCCTCGCTCCCTCCTTCAGTAGTCTTAGATTTCTGGAAGGCAGGGAAGTGACTCCTCATCTTGTGATAAAGGTGTTAAATACATAATCCACACTGTGCACTACTTCTCTTCTTTCAAAACTAGATGTTGTATCTACACTTATGTTTACCAAAACAGTGGCAAAGACATTTCCTTCTGAATTTTCTGCAGATTCTGTCATAGAAAGAATTTCATTCCAGTTGTTTAGCATAACGGAAATAATCAAGAGTGTGTCCAGCACTGTTTATAAATCTTAATGTTGTGGCTTATGGCAATGATCCATGCATCAATGAGCCCAAAAGCTCATATTAACGCAATACATGGCAACAGATTTTGCCTATCATCATGCCCATAAAATACGCTCACTCCTGTTCACTGAGAGAGCATCTCTCAAGGAGATGTTATTCTCAAAATATAAATATGTCATCAGATTTTCAAGCCCAAAAAGTACGCTGCTCCATGTCTGGAGGGGCCTGATGCTGTAGAGATGAAACACACGTTTATTTCCTATATTAACTCATGCAAACAATCTAATAGTAGTTCCTCCATGGTTTTGTAGGCAGTTTTCTTTAAACATTCATGTGAAGATTAAGAACTTGCCATCTATACAGAACGAAAAAGCTTTATGCTTCATTTTACAACAAACTAAAAGTCCAGAAGGCTCGTCACAGCCTTTCGGTGCTTCAGCTTCCCTGTTCAGCATAGAAGCAGAATATTGATAGGTATTTTGCTAATTCCTTAAGCTTTCAGATCATTTGTTCTCATCCAAGACTAAATTAAACACTGTAGGACGTCTAGTTTACATATGTACACTTGTACTCTTTCAGTCAGGATTACTGCGATAGGCACGTCCTAGTTTTTGAAAACAGAAATTGTCAAGAACATATTTAAAGAGACTAACGAGTAAAAAAAAATAATTTCATGTTTACTCTGAAATAAATTAATACACAAAAAAAAGGTAGATTATACGAGCCGAATCATGATTGTTTCCTGCCTAAAGATGCAGGATATAGAAAGCATTTTTAAAGATTACTTAAAAAAAAAAAAAAGACTGTGACCACTCAATATGAAGATTATTTCTAGCCAAACAGACACATATACATGCAGTCTACCCTGAGAGTGTTTTTAAAGAAGATTTTTATACTTCTGGCAGTTCAGGTTTAAAGGTCAGATTTAAACTATCACCATGTTTCAAAATGCAATCTGTGCAATGCAGCATAATGAAATGGTTCAGTAAAGGTGCTAGTGGAAATTCTTTTAATTAGGTCCAAGGCTTTTCAGTTGTCAACATGAATAAAGCAAGAAACATTCTATTGCAAACACAGTGCAAGAAATAAAAATGGATTCACCTTTAAGAAAATGATTCTGCTATAGAGTTGCAGTTTAGTACTTTTTGCTGTCCTGAAGACAGTGAATTTCCCACCAAGCGAAACACAGTAACCGAGGCTTCTACTCGCGGTAACTTGTTACTGAACGGACAACAGCAGCATGCACACCAAAATTACCGACAGCCTAAGACACTCCGAGGCCAGTGCAAATTTACAATCCTCTCACAGCCATCAGATACGCAAGCTCTCCTTGGCGCAGTACACTGCCTTGCATCAGGGCTTCATTTAATAAAAACTACAAGTTGACAGAGAGAGCTTATGCTTTATTCCTTGTAATATGAAGCTCTGACTACAACTACGACTAGAAGATGACACTTATTTGGAAATACATGAAAAATCCATAAGGGTTGCATGAAAAAAAAATTACTACCCCCTCTTTGCTATTCCTTGCAACACAGACGGTGGTGTAGGAGACTTGTCAGCAGCAGATGCACTTATTGTAATCACAGTCCTTAATAAATCTCTTTTTTTAATATTGACTATTTTAAAAGGAAAGTTACTTCCCAGGGCGTTCTCATGCTGCCAGATTTTCAGCAACATATCCGAAGCAGAAGGTGAAGAAGGGACAATTTTCCACATCTCAGATAGTTAATCAGTAAGGCAGAAGTACACACCTTGATTTGCAGGAACCCGACCTGAGCGGTTCGGGAAGCCTGACTGCTAGCAGGTACTGCTGCCGTACCCTGGCAAAGAAATGACTTAATCTGATTCTGCTGGAACCGTCCCAATGCTACCCAGCTCCTCTGACACAAATGTTACCTGGAAAGACATTTCACTGTAACCTATTTCCATTTGGATCCTACGAGTGAAAGATTAAAGAACACTTCATTCTAGATCCTCAAGAATCATCAGTGTAGATACGAATATCGCGATCACGAGACTCAAGCACAGGTCACTACCTGAAGCTCTAAAATCATCACAGGGCCTCACTTATTTGATTAAAATCGCTGTTGAAGGAGGGGGGGGGGAAACAGCTCTACACTTTTTTCCACCGGATTAATTACCTGATGGGGAATGCATCACACAGAAGATGTTTTTCCTCACTATTGAATATGGGTAGATTTAATTTAGCAAAGTAAATTTTCTGTCTATTCAGCAGTGCATGAATTGCTCACTGCTCTCATTAAGTAGCAAAACTGGCACAATAGTTTGACAAAACAGCCATTTATGATCACGAAACTGTTGGAAGACATTTTCAGTTTCTCTGATAATAAATGCACCTATTTATACTGAGACCAGTGGGGAGACACACTCCCAGAATCTTCCCATCCTCCTAGGGAAACAAAAGTAAAAAGTAAAAAAAAAGTATAATGGATTGGCTTTAGAGTCTCCCTGCTGAGACGAACAACTTGATCCACTTACAGTTCCAAACACATGATGCATGAAAGAACTGACAGAAATTCAATTCTTGCAAAGAAGAGCAGCTGCTCTCTAGTGGTCAAAGCCAAATATTAAGCATCTGAAGGAAAGGAAAGACCTGGAGAGGAATACTTCCATTATCTAGGTAACTAAAATAATGAAACGAAGCTAAATAAGACATAAACACTGATCCCGAACACTAATTACACAATGCAACGTGATTCAAGTTAAGGCTTTGTTGCGACAAATATTAGTCCCAGCTGTATTTATATAGCAGTTGTGAAAAAAAAAAAAGTAGACCATGTACGCTATTTGTGAGCCATGCCAGTTAATTGAATTTGCTGGCAGCACTTCCTCTGCTATGCTCCAAACATCCTCCGAGATAAAATGTAGCTTTTAAATAGACCTGTGGAAAACTGAATCAAGAAATTTGAACTAATAAAACACAACTCTCTACTGTTATAAAAGTAAAGTAAAAGTAAATAATGAAAGGAAGGAAGTCTCTTAAAATTTATTACATTCCAAAGCTTGAAGTTCTGTGTTTATTGGTGAAGTCTCTTCTGATGTTCTACAGTGTGCCTACAACAGCTCCTTTAACGAAGACTCATAAAATCTAATATAATACTTGATTGTTGACAAATCATATACCCGGCTGAGGCCCGGCGCTCACTGCACCCAGACATTTCTTACATAATTCCATGAAATTTGCACGTCTGTCATTCCCCGCGTGCGGGTAATGGCACGAGCGATGCCCAGCTGGCAGATTTGGATGCCGGGAGTGGAATCAAAATGAAAAACTATATAAAGCCAGAAAAATTCATGGAAGTAACTTTTATAGACTAAATGCCTGACTAAAGCCAAAATGTTCACAATCAAGACGGACCTTTCATCCTGAGCTCACTGTTTTCGAAGAATGGATCACACCGCAGATCACAGAGAAATGATGGGATGTCACAGTAGGAGGCACTGGGTATTCACCAGTTTCTCCTCAAACAGGCCAGCTTATATTGAGCTCCCAGCATATCAATTTTATTTCTCAACTACACATAAAAAGGTATAGATCTAACTGTCAGCACAATATTTTGAACTAGTAAAAGAAATCCAGATTTTCCCCTGCCGCTTTCTCCTAAACAGCCACCCTCTGACTTAAAAATAGCTTCTTACACTCTTACTTTACTGCTCTTCCCTCTCAGCATCCTTAGCGAAGATGATTACAGCAGCAAGTAGCAGGCTGGATGTATTTTTGTCCCATTAAAGGGAAAGATCAAGTATTTATACAACATTTCTATCAAGTTATTAAAAAATAAATAAATCACCAATAAAAAGTTTAAATGAGAAAGAAAATAGATTCTGCATTACATGCACTGAGCAGAGCTAGAAGTGAATACAAAGTAGTCCATTTGATATCATAACTCAGGATATAAAATGTACAAAGTTGATTAAAGCTCACCTGGAAGAAGTCACAGGTAAAAGCCCACATACTTCCATTTGGAAACACCAGGTAATTAAAATGCAGGCTTTTTTTTTTTTTTTTCTAATGGAATGGATAAACACAGTTCAAAATAGTACTACTGTGAAAAGAGTACACCATGAAGAAAGAAGTTTGAATTTTCGTTTCCTGTTCAGATGTACCATAACCAGTGTGGTTTCCCAGCTTCTTTTTACCCGTATGCCTCTAACTCTCCAGATGACGTGAAACTTGCTCACGCCATTCCAAAACGGAAACTGGGTTGCTGAATTCTAGCTGAGGTGAGCGTTAGCTAATTTTCATTAGGAGGCTTCAAAATATGTCTGTAAATGTTCAAAAAAACACTCCTTACGGCTTCAAAACAGGAAAGAATTAAGTAAAGTAGTTTATTTATAATAACAAGAATAACAGAACGAGACACCTCAGTTACAAACCGAACAAGCTGACTGGATTTATACTTCAAAGTAACGGAATACTCAGATGAAACATTTCGTACTTACCACATCATTAGGAAGGCTCTGAAGGTCATCAAAAGGGGTTTCCAGTGTGTTGGTGTCTACATTAAGAATCACTACATCTTCCAGGGCCATGTTTCTTACTTTCTAAATATGAGCAAATTCAAGAAAAGGGAAAGGAAAATATAAGTATGAAAAGTCAAATTTTATGCGTAAAGGACACAAGTTGGAGTGTTAACATCATGTGAAGCAGTACACGGACACACAAAAGAAAACCACAACCTATTTCCCAAAAGAATGATCATGAGTAACTTTAAGTGTCTGAAGGTATTAGTGTGCTAAGCAAATTTAAACACTGTCAGACTTTATTTCCCTGTTTAAGCAACAGTAAACGAATCACTGATACGAAATAGAGTGGCATTTAAATACTTATTTCAACACTTTTTCCACTAACAGGAGAACTGAATCCTTTTTTTGTTGACTGACTAATCATATATATTTAAACCCTCTTCAGATAAAGCTTTGAGAATTCAAAATCAGAAAAAGTAGAGCTATAGAATACGGTAATTAATGAAATCTCCCAGCGATCCTGTAAACAAATGCTTAAGCACATACATACCTATAAGTAGGATCAAATGCAACTTACTGAAGAGGAAAACGAACGAAAACATACTCAATTTTTAATTAAGGTTTTTCGGGGTGGGGGAATTGTTTCCCTTAAAAGAAAGGAAATAAAGCTCTAAAACAATGGTGAAGTTGAGCCTTAGGCATCTAAATAATTACCTTCAGTTTTCAAGGCTCAGTCCTCTGTCTATAAAGAAAACTGCCATGTACTTAGGGAAAAAAAGCACAAAACCAACAACTACAAAAAACCTTCTGTCAACATTTAAGTTTAGGTCTTCCATGAGAAATTCTTTAACTAAATGGAAGAATATTACATTCAATGCTTTCCATATAAAAGCACAAGTATTGCATGACAAACCAGGTACTTTCCTCTACATTTCAGGAACCAAAGGTCACTCTGTTGGCTGCATCTGATAAACTCTAAAGCAATCCAGGAGTCTTGCTCCTTCTAGGAGTCCGGAAGCACCAGACAAACTGATTTGCTCCTTCCTGTTTCAGAAAATTAAAAATCTCACTTATACTCAGAGGAGTCTAAAAAGCTCCAACAAAAAGGCCTTGCAATGCACTTAACCAAAGCCAGAAGCTTGTCAAAATCGAGTGCCAGTAGGACAAGACAGAAGGAATTAAAACCTTCTCTCGATTC